CTTCCTTCCCCAGCTAGGAGGCTTTGATTGAGGTTAGGAATGGTAGAGTTGGGAAGATAGGGTAGAAGGAACTGGTTCAGCCAGATTGCCTTTCTTTTCAAATCTTCTCTTGAATCTGTACCAAAGCTATTTGTCTTAGTTATCTAGTGCTGCTACAACATAAATATCACAAGTGGATGGCTTTAAAAAACAGAAGTCTATTCTCTCACAGTTTAGGAGGATAGAAGTCTGAATTCCGGGTGCCAGCTCCTGAGGAAGGCTTTCTCTCTCTGTCTGTTCTGGGAGAAGGTCCTTGTCATCAATCTTCCCCTGGTCTAGGAGTTTCTCAGTGCAGGGACCCTGGGTCCAAAGGACGTGCTCTGCTCCCGGCTCTCCTTTCTTGGTGGTATGAGGTCCCTCTCCTCTCTGCTTGATTCTCTCTTTTATATGTCAGAAGAGATTGACTCAAGATACAACCTAATCCTGTAGACTGAGTCCTGTTTCATTAATATAACTGTCTCTAATCCTGCCTCATTAACACAATAGAGGTTAGGATTCACAACACATAGGATAATCACATCAGATCACAAAATGGTGGACAATTACACCATACTGGGAATCATGGCCTAGCCAAATGATACACATTTTTAGGGGACACAAATCAATCCACAACACTATTGAATGCAGAAGTTGAGAATGTGCATGGGAGGAATGGCACCCCAAAGCTGTGGTGATGAGGAAGAAGAAAACACACTGACACCTGGTTGAAAATTCTCTTATTCCACAACATCAGCTGTCCAAATATTGGATTTTCCTTTTTCCTCTGCTTTCCTGTACTCAGATGCACAGTCTAGCAGTAGTGCCCTTACCTTTTTAGGTCAACCCAAAAGACTAAGTCTTATGGCGGAACTTCGGCCAGAATGAAAGGGGAATGGTAGTGGGGAAGGTGTTTTAGGTGAGAAAAGTCTCACTTCTATAGTCAAAGAATTAAATTAATAATAAATTAGAGTTATTGGGTAGGAATAACTCTGAGCTAGGTCAGTGTCAATTAGATTAGAAACAGCTGAATTATGTGTCAGCCTTGACACCAGTCTTTGGTATTGTTAACCACTTTAAAGGCAAAAATGCAACATATAGGGTGAAGAGGCATACCATTGTAAGATAAAAATCTATTAAAAACCAGATGCACAAATACTATCTTAAGAAATGCTTTTAAAAATAATTTAAATGAAAGTATTACAGTGTTACTAATACATTTTGGCATAAAATGAAATACGACGAAAATGGAAGAGTTCAAATTCCTTTCTCTTTTTGACTAAGCCATAGGCTATCAGTAAGGCAGAACCACTGAGTTAAAAAGAAAGAACTCCACAAATCCCACTATTGCCAAATGTCCAGATCTTAACAAGGAAACATATTTGAAAATTTGAGCAGTATATAAACTTTAGGTTGCTGTCCTATGAGAACAATCCTATTAAAGATGACAGGTGTATCTCTAAATTGCCTTAGCTCTTTTAAAACACAAAAAATCAGAGTTGGAAGGGACCTGCTGAGGTATTCTGGATAGTCACTCAACCTTCTGAACCTTGATTTATGGCCACACTTTTATGACAACTGGAAAAAGTATTAATTTTATAAAGTATGTTAAATAGAAAAATGTGGCCCAGTAGAGGACCATGTATTTATTCCTTCATTCATCCATTCAGCAAACATATACTGAAGATACCACTTAGCAATTTTTTTCATTTTGTATGGTAGCCTTTGCTAGCCCATTTGTTTGCACTGAATGCTCAGCTATCTGCCAGCTGTCACTCCCGTCTCCTGGGACAAAAGTGGGTTACTGTGAGCTCTTCTCTCCTCCCGCTTTTCCTGCCTCCCCACCACCATCCTAGTCTGGGCCCCTTCCGCCCAGATTTCTTGGATATGCTGTATTTTTCAGCCCTAGAGTCTCTCCCAGTTTTTTCCCTATTACCTTCTCCCCTGCACTCCCGCAATGGAAGTCTGGTGAACTTCCTTGGACCTGATCTAAGAAGCTGACTTCTGTGGTTTTCTTTTTTTTTTTTTTTTGGCCTCTTTCCTGTCAATACTGGTCTCTGAGGCTAATTCCTGTTCTCATTCCCTTTTTATTACTGTCTTTGAGAAATTCCTCTCCTCCCTAATGATGTTCTATATTTGAACTTCTGAAGCCATTCCATTCCCAGATAGGATCACTCTTGGATTTTTACATGTCTAAATTAGACCCTCAATGAGATATTGATTCAGCGGCTGCTACAATGGGCTCAAACACAGCAACAACTGTGAAGATGATGCAGGACGGGACAACGTTTTGTGCTATTTTACATAGGGTCTCTGAGTTGGAATCGACTAGACATCACCTAACAACACCAACAAATTAGACTGTACCCACCATATCCCTTGGGGAGTTGATTGTCAGCTTTTGAAAGCATCTTCTCTTTGTGTTCTACTCCTTGCCCCAACCCCAGGAGCTTTCTCCCCTTTCTCTTGTTCAGCTCCCTGAACCACTCCTCTCCTGACAGCTTACTCAAATATATGCTCAAATGAAAATTGGCATTAATTTGTATAGACCCAAATCACATACAGAAAGTAGGCCATATATCAAACAAGCACTCAGTAAATAGTGAGGTAGCTGTGTACTGTAGGAGGAGTATTAAAGACAGAAATGATAGCAAGACATGTTGAGGCTTGGTGGGGATGTATATGGCCTAACCAATAATCAGGACATGTGCCCTGACTAGTAACAGGATTTGTAGGGAAAACAAGGCTGAACGGTTAAAATTATGATTGTCCTAGTAAATGCAGAAAGTTTTGCCACCAAACTCATATAATCACTTCTCTTCCAGTTCATGGAGGAAAACTTTGGAGATGATGGGATTTCAGGAATTATTTGAAGGAAAAGTGCTGGACAAACTTAGTATGAAAAAGCAAAAAAGAAATAGGCTATACTCCAGGTAAAGAGTTAACCAAAAATCAAATCCACTGCCAAGGAGTGACCCTATAGGACAGAGTAGAACTGCCCCATAGGGCTTCTAAGGAGTAGACTCAAACTGCCCACCTTTTGGTTAGTACCTGTAGCTCTTAACCACTGCACCACCAGGGCTCCAGGTAAAGAGTTAGGCATGGGAAAAGCACAGAGCATAAACGAACTGCATTTAGTAAAGTATGTGACCAAAATTTTGCACAATGTCTAATTCTTAGGCTAAGAGATTTTCCATTTTTTTAAATTGTTTTTTGATCAGAGACATGGGATTACTATTAGTAAGAGTTACTAATACCAGTGGCATAGCTTCCAGCATCACAGCAACACACAAGCCCCCACAGTACGACAAATTCACAGATGCATGGGGGAGTCTTCACATATTATGTTTAACACATCACACATATTATTTAATCTTTACAAAAAACCTTTGTAAGGTAAGAATCATTCCCATTTTCATATGAGGAAAACAAGGAACTTCCCCAAAGTTATACAGCTATCAATAGCAAATTCTTAAGTGTCTGACTCCATATATTAGGGATAACAGAATATAACGCGAGTAGTGGCACAGTGGTTAAGAGCTCGGCTGTTAGTTCAAATCCACCCTGCTCCTTGGAAACTCTATGGGGCAGTTCTGCTCTGTCCTAGAGGGTAGCTGTGAGTTGGAAATCAGCTGGATGGCAACGGGTTTGGTTTTTAAGGGGTTATCCTAAAAGAAATGGAGATTTAGGGACTCTTATCAAAAGAAGCTTTCCGGGATTGAGAGTGGTAGAGATCATGGTTTAAATCACTTCACATATGGTCTTAAAACTTCAAAAATAAACAGAAAATAATTTTAAAGTCTGAGGTAAGAGGGAGTAAGGAATGAAAACCATACCATCAATTTGGTAGAAGGTCCTCTGTGGGATGACAGCAGATTTACAGATTTACATTAGATGCTGATTCCACCAGCCTCACCCAACTCACACCTTCTTTAGACCTCATTTCTTTACCATGTGGATTTTTAAGATCCCTTTGTTATTAAAATTATCTGAATATTTAAGTACTTACAAACTCCTAGACACCGACTTAAAATTAAAGCTTGTCAACTCTTTAATTCTCAAGGAGGTCAAGCAAGCAGGTACCTTAGATAACAGGATAGGAAATAGAACCACTAATAAGAGGAGTATCATCATTCAGAGTGCCAGAAACTTCCCGAGGCTGAATATGCAGCCCAGTGACCTTCACTACTTCTTATGTGCACATCCTGATTAATATTTAAAGAACATCCTGGTCTCTATTTCTGCCATTATTAAGGTAACTGACATGTAATTACAGATGCCTTCCTAACAGGTTGTAAGGTGGCCATCTAGGTTATAGTTAAGAGCCCGACTCTGGAGTCAAATCGCATGGGTTCAAATGAGTCCTGTCGTCGGCTGGGCGGCTTTAAATAATTTGTAACCTTTCTTTATCTGTAAAGTGGAAATCAAGTTCCATCCCCACAGCCCTTTAAGGACGAACAGACCACGAAAAGCACCAAGCACAGTACAAGACACAAAGTATCCAATAAGCGTTAGCCTAAAAAGGTTTACAACTTTTCAAAGGGATTCATTCAACAGAACTAGTTGTTAAATACAACTTGGAGGACCTCTTTTTGAAACAAAGTCATTTCAACTTAAGTTTTCACAACTTCATGCTTTTATGTGTTTAATTTTCATAAAGTATGACAATTAGCAGCTTGTGCTTGTATTTACTCACTGTTATGGTTCACAGTATCATCTGTGAGCCGTCTGTTGATTCTACAAACCCCCTAAATTGTAAGAAACTGACAGATCAGGGAACGCTCATCAGCATTAGTAATCAATGATTTAAAATCAGTGTTTCTAGTTTCTCCGTTGTATTTATCTGTCGGTTTCAAGATACATGTATTTCAATTTCAAGAGAAAAATACAGGTTTGCACTTGGAACCTTTTGAACCTCCGACGCAAGCGCCCATTACGAACTCGGCAGCTGCCCGGCCTCGCGGCTTCTTCCGAGCCTTCTCCTCGGGGCGGGAGGTAAGGTTACAGCACCCGAAGCAGTCGCGGCCTCTTCGAATTTCGCATGTGGCTGTTAAGGACGTTTACATTTGAATTTCCCTGAACAGCCAAGTGTGCGCCGCGGCGCGAACCCGCCCCGGAAACCTCCAGGCCCTTCCCGCCACCCGCCGACTCGGCCCCACTAGGGGTCCCCACGAGGCGGCAGGAGGGCCGGACGGGCCTGGGCAGACGGCCGCAGGCTGGGCGTCCAGGACGCCCCTCCCCACTGCCCTCAGTCTTGTCCGGGCCACGCCCAGCCCAGCGCGCCTAGCCGACGGTTGCCGAAGGGCTCGATTTTGAATTTAGAAGCCCGGCCCTCGAGCCTCACGAGCGTGCTCCCGGCCCCCCATTGGCCGGTGGCGGTCACGTGGGAGTACCGGCGCGAGCCGGCCATGTTGGGGAGTGCGGCGCTGGGGCCCACGCCACCTCCGCCCCCCGCGGCCCTCCTCCCCTCCGCCTGCCGCTCGTCGCAGCCCGAGAGGAAACAAAGTGCTGCGGGCGGGAGAATTGGCGGCGGCGGCGCGAGGACCCTGTTCGGCCCTCTCGGTCACCCTCCCTTCTTGTCTTCCTGTTGTGTGTGTGTTCGTATGTGTATGTGTGCTTGTTTTCTTAGAGAGGGCATTTTACTATTGCTTGACTGATAATCCTCCCCCTTGCCTTTGTGCTGCATCCCCGCTCCTGCCACCCCAGGTGGTTCTCCCTTTCCTCCCCACGGCAGACTCTGCGCGCGAGTGCGGGCCGCCAGTTCCCGCCTTTCCGGCTTCGCTGCCTGCAACGCCCTCCGTGCCCCCACTTCGTTCCTGTGCTGCCCACGGCCTCCCAGCTCCGCTCTCCCCGCCAGCCCCCTCCGCCGATTGCTCCGCCACCCGCCATGGCGACAGCGACCCCCGTGCTGCCGCGGACCGGCAGTCGCGCCAGCGCTCCCGCTACGCCACTGAGCCCCACGCGGCTGTCGCGGCTGCAGGAGAAGGAGGAGCTGCGCGAGCTCAATGATCGGCTGGCCGTGTACATCGACAAGGTGCGCAGCCTGGAGACGGAAAACAGCGCGCTGCAGTTGCAGGTGACCGAGCGTGAGGAGGTGCGCGGCCGCGAGCTCACCGGCCTCAAGGCGCTCTACGAGACGGAACTGGCTGACGCGCGACGCGCGCTCGACGACACGGCCCGCGAGCGCGCCAAGCTGCAGATCGAACTGGGCAAGTTCAAGGCCGAACACGACCAGCTGCTCCTGAAGTGAGTGCTCGCCGGGCGGCAGCGTTTGCGCACATGAGGAGGATCCGGCGCGTCGCCCGTGGCGGCTGGGCAGGGAGGGAGGTCGAGGGGCAGGTGTTCGCGCCCTTTGGATGGGGCAGGGTCTCCGGAAAAACGAGAGAATTTAGTGTTTCTTGCCGGGGTCGGGGCGGGGGAGAGGGGCGAGGTACGCGGAGGAGGCTCGGGTTGTAGCCATTCTCAGGCCGGGATGTGCATTTCTTAGTCCTGGATACCTGACAGTGCGTACCGGCGGCGGCGGAGAAAGACCACCCGGCCGCGGCCCCCGGGTGCGGGGAGGTGGCGGCCGGGCGCGCGCTCGAGTGCGCGCCCCGATTTCCGGCCCGCGCCGAGACAAAGCGGCTGGTGGGTTTGCGGTGCAGAGGCTGCTCGCCGGGGAGGTCTGGCTGCCCGCCTCAAGAATGAATGAGCTTTGCGCGGGCGAAGGGAGGAAGGGGAGGGACCCGCCTGGAACGTCCTCGTTTCCTGGGGGTGGGTCTTGCTTTGGCGCGCTCAGTCTTGGCCCTGTGATGTTCTGTGATCTTTCTACGCCTGCCTGGCGTGGACGGAGAGGCGGAGTCTGAACCGCGCGCCTACTCCCTGACTCGGCCAAATTGAATTTTCAAGCTCACTGGCTTTCTCAGGGGAAAGATGGTCTGTGCTGCTGCAGGGATGGGCGCGGGCCCTGGGGTTCCTCTACTCACGGGCCTTCTCGAACTGGATTTGCGCATGTCATGGCCACAGTTACCCGACCCGCGGTCTGCCCCTCACCCCGCCATTTGTCTCCCCACCTTTTGCCGCCCCCCCCCATAGAATTAATCTTTCAGGTAAAGGAAAGACCATGCACAGTCACAGCGTCTGTCATTGTACTGACAGTAGGCCAGGGCAGGTGAAAGGGTGCTGCGCAAATGTGAGTGCTGCGGCATGAGAGTTTGTGACTCCACCTAAGGGCTCTGAGCTTTCAGTCCATGGCACAAAGATAAACTTGCAATCTTCTGCTGACCCTGCTTTGACCTGATGAGCAAAATGGCATACTTGTCATCATCAGGCATGAGTGCTGATGTCATGCTTTAGGGGTTTGCTGAATTTGGTTTCAGAATTCAGGGTACCTGTTCCCATGGCGGTTGGTGACCCCGTGGGTAGTGCAAATGATTAAGCACTGACAACTAACTGAAAGGTTGGCGGTTGAAACCCACCCAGAGACACCTCGGAAGTAAGGCCTGGCCATCTGCATCCAAAAGGTCACAGCGTTGAAAACACTGTAGAGTGCAGTTCTACTCTGCACACTTGGGATCACGGTAAGTTGGAATCTACTTGAGGGCAACCAGCAACATCTCCACTCCTACTTGAAATTTCTGTAGACACCTGACTCTGACTTTGACTGTGTTTGCCCGGGATGTCTTTTTGTCTGTATCTTTGTGAATATCCCAGTCTCAGTCTCCTTGTGATTTGGAGTGTGTGTATCTCTTGTTTCTCTCTTCTTATTAGATTTTTTTTAAAGTTCATAAAAAGTATGTGCCAAAAAACCAACCCATTGCCGTCGATTCCGACTCATAGCGACCCTATACGACAGAGTAAAACTGCCCCATAGGGTTTTAAAGGCTGTAAATCTTTAAGGAAGCAGACTGCCACATCATTGTCTTGCACAGCAGCTGGTGGGTTCCAGTCGCTGACTTTTCTGTTAGCAACCGAGCTTTTTAACCACTGCACTGCCAGGGCTCCTAAAAGTATGTGCACATGGTAAAAAAAAAATGGTGTACACTGACTGTTAATGAAAACTGATAATAGCCTATTGCCCCTTTTCAGGAGGCACTCACCTTTAGTCTTTTTTTTAAATTTAATTTCTTTGGATATTTAGTTCCATAACTCAAGATAATAAACTGTACTTATTTCTTTGATTTAATAATTTATGGAATCATTTTTTGAAAGGAAAGGTTAATTCATTCACACTACTGTCTTCACTTGTTCCAAATTTTTTGTTACTGAATTTCTTTAAATCTTAGATGCTATTATTTGTATGACTCACCATTATTATGTGTACCACTAAGAAGAAAAAAGGAAACAAAAAATCTCTGTGGCCAGCTATGTAGGACCCCTTCTCTTGGACCTATCTATATATCAGAGATGTTAAAATGTGTTGCAGACTATGTATCTAGTATGTGTCAGTCACTGCTGTGGGTGTGGGAGATACAGAGATTAAATAAATTACCACTCATGAAGCTGATAGTATGGTGAAGGAGATACCCAGTAAGCAAATAAACATCGTATTTCATCTAATCTGAGCATTTTGATACTGGTGATTGTAGTCTTTTGAGAAAGTATCCACTAAAGGTTTTTCACACAGTAACAAGACTGCCACCTGGCTGACAGCAGTTGTAAAATGCAATGGATTGTAAAATGCATGCTGGTTTCAAGAGGGTTAAAAATTGAGAAGAACACGTGTATTAGAATCAATGAAATGATATATGCGATACAGTGTTCGGTGATAACATATGCTGGGGGATAAAAATAAAGCAGGGTGGAGGATAGTGTGGCTTTTCTGAAGGATTGACAATTGAGAATACTATTCCCTGAGATGTCAAGTGGTATGCTGAGATTATATTTTTCTTAGGTCTGTATGATTGGGGTGTGCTGTTGGCCAATTTATCCGAGTACACACATTCCTTTTGTCAGGGTTAGATGTGTTCCCTTTTCTAACATAACATCAGTTGGTTACAACATGCCATGTTTTAGTTTGCTTCGTATTTGGCCTTTGACTTTTCTTGTACAGTTTTAATTTTGTTCTTGAATAGCTTTTCATTTTTCTTGTTGACTGAGGAATAATTTGCTTTTAGGATGTCCTCATACTTGTCCAGCTTCTTTATCATAATGTCCATTACACGGGTCTACTTTCTTTCTTCCCTCAAGCTTTCTGCTCTTTAGGCCTGCTGAGTTGAACCCATAGTTTCTTCCTGGATCACATGTTTTCTTTTTACTTGGTTTCTTCCTTCATTATGTTGGAGGACATCCTTAAGTAACTTATTCAGAAAGGATAGCAGGAGGTAATCTTAATCCTAGTGTGTCTGAAAATAACTTTGTCTTGTCTCATGCTTGATTAATAGTTGGGCTAGGTATAGAATGCCAGTTTAACAAACATTTTTCTTCAGAATTTAGAAAGTACCGTGTTGCTCCATTATCATCTAGCATCCAGTGTCGTTAGTATGTGTTGTCTGATGCCAGTTAGAGTTATTTTCTTTTGTTGCTAATAGCTTCTGTTTTTCCTCCCTGGAAGCTTTTGGGAATTTTCTTTTTCCTGGTTTTTGAAATTGCATGGTGATAGGTCTAGGTGTGACTGTTCTGTTATGCATCCTGGCTGTTAAAAGAGGACTCTTTCAGTTGAAGTCTTGATCTTTATTTAGCTCTAGAAAACTTTATTCCATTTCAAAAAAGTAGTTTTCGATGCTCCATTCTCTCTGTTCTCTCTTGTTAATTGGAATCTTGACCTTTTTTTCTCTTATTTTCTCTCAAATTTTTTTTTTTGTTGTTGTTGTCGTTGTTCTGGGAAATTACGTTGACTCTTTTCTAACCTAATAATGACATTTTTAAAGTAGAAATCATACTTTCAACTCTCAATAAATCTTTTTTCATAGTTAATTTTTTTGTATTAAGTTGTTTCTGTTTTAAGTATGCAATATCTCTTTTAGATACTATTTAGAGTTTTCTTTCTAAAATTTTCTTCCATTACTTTTACTTGTATTGTTTCTTTTTCCGCCTGGGTAACTTGTTCATTTTTGTTTGTCCTTTTTATTGCTGCTAATTTTTGTTGTGTATGGTGATCCTTGATTGTCTACATTTATGAATGAAGGACTAGGTAATGGTTAAGTATTGCTGCTACTTTTGTTTCGATAGCCCCTCTTACCTCTCTTCTGAATGGTAGAACAAATTAGGAGCTCTTCGTGTCAGTGAGGAGATGTACTATCAGCCAATTGCTGAAGTCTGCAGTTAGGCTAAGGGGTGCTGAGGAGGGCTAGGTGCAAAGTTGTTCTATAAGTTAATCCTTCCATTTTAAGTCTGTGCACTTTCCCCTGCAACCCCCGCCCCCCTTCTCCCAGTGTGCATGTTCTGTGATACAAACTTTTATGTGTATTTCATCTTCTAGAAGTTTGTTCAGTTGTCTGCTAATGATCCCTTTCTTGTTCACTTTGGTATTGTGGTTTTTTTCCCTTGTTGTATACTTTACTTCCTTTTAATTAGGGTCTGGTGGGGAGGCTAATGCCTGTGAGCAGTAAGCCATCATTCTGGAAATTAATTATTTTTGAGCAATAATTGAAGTATAATTTGGAAAATAAAAAGGAATACATGCTTTATGGTCTCGGCCCATTTAGCTCTTCTTTTGTTTGTTTAAAACTAATTTTCTCTAATTTCTAATTTGGAGCAGGAGTGTTTATAATTAGTATATCATTTAGGTGGATTTGGGTTTAGAAAACAGTGTTGAGAGAATTATAGATGCTGAAATTACTTACTTTTCGATTCCTCAAAGATAGAAAAATTCTTGGAGATACTTGGCCCTGCTGGAGAGAATTTGGCAGTAGCTTTCATGCAGGTGGTCCCTGGATCCACAAAAACAATAAAAAAAAACTCATATCTTAGATACATTTACTCTGATTTAGCTCAAGCTGAATTATATTTATATCATAATTTATAAATGTATTTATGTTATAATCTATTTATATTTCATCCTAGGCTTTTTCTTTTTTTTGGGAGGGGGGTACAATTTCCAAGAATGATGATGAATGTTATCAGTCAACACTTTAAGCAAAAAATAAAGAAAAATGGACTTATTTCAGAATTTCAGCATTCCGGGCACTGTAAAGTTGAGGTGATAAAGAAAGCTAATTATGCAGAAAACTAAATATAAAAGAGAAAATTAAGTATGTTCACCTACCTGTGAAGAACTGATTTTGTGATCCATACTGTTTTTTCTTCTGCGATATAGGTAATCCTTT